ATTTATTTATTATATATATATATATATATATATATATATATATATATATATTAGAAATCAATAGCCTACTGCAGTTTAAACACAAATAGATGATTTCAAATTTCAACCTGTAATCGTGAATTTTACTCCGAATACGAATAAAGAATTATTATTATTATATGCGACATTATAGAACAGTGATTCAATCTAGGAGACGAATGAAGAAATGCAAATACATCCGATGGAAAAGGCAAAAGCATCGAACGGGAACATGGCAGAGAACAACGAAGAGAAGACAACTATCGGAGACAGTCCTCTTGGATGAGATTGTGGTTGAGGGAGGGAACTCTTGTAGAAATTCGATCCTTCAACACAAATGGAACGGCAACCCCTCGGAGGGCCTGAGTGGAAGGGGACAGTCGAGTGAGTGTGCACATCGGGTTTTTCGATAACTACTATCAATCGACGCGAGATATCCGTGATAAAGAGACGTGTATGTATGTAAGTTCTTCGTTTGTCACCGGAACGAGGTGGTCGCGTGATCGTGAAGTGTCAGTGTATTTCCGACGATCCCGATGTAAATCGCGATGACATCTATCTGTCTCTTTCTCTCTCTTTTTCGTGCATATTCGGATGCTCCTGGAGTCGAAATCGATTACTCTTTTGCATAAGCAACTAACGTTTTTTTTTTTTTTTTTTAAGTCGCGTACTGATGACTAATTATATTCCTCCGACGTTGATCGTGCGTTGATTCGTCTTTTCCTTCCCCGCATCAGGTTTGTGCCTAATGAATCTCGAGAAAAGAGATCCAGGAGACATCCAGCGCGAACGGAAAAATCTTCGTCAAGTCTAAATTCGGCATACTGATTTGGTGCTTATGACAGCTTTCTCGTAAATGTTTTCCTCTGTGACTGCGTATTGCGTGTAGATTTGCTGATAGAATTCCTGAAGTGCTTGGTGAGATGTCATATGATACCCGTTTTAAAAATATCCGCGATATAGAATCTAAATAGTTTTAAAACTAATACGTTACCTCTCCGATAAGCACTACGACTCGATTATAATTACTGTAATCTTCCATGATTTCTTCTGCGTTTCTGGGAATAATAGATAACGCACGGCAAGTTACAGCTTACAAATTATGTTATTCATGAGATCTGTAAAAAGTAAGTAAATCAGTAACGATTCGATTTCCGTTAGTTGATCCGAAGTTTTCAAAGAGATGGAGATTCTGAAGATTTCTTCTTTTATATATGAACTTCATTAAAAATTTGTCTAAAAATTTTTATTTCTTCGGAGTCTACTCCTGATTTTACAGATGAGAAAAGATTAATCATTTTACAAGATATAAATTTTTCCACCAGTCCCATTAAACTCACTTAATTATCGCAATCTGCATTGTTCGTAGCTCTATTGTAATAAAGCCGACCGTACTGACAAAGTAACGTAGCGGGATAATGCACTCGTTAGAGGGTAATTCATGAGAAAGAGATACTCTCCGCTGAACCGGAAGGAAACCGCAAGTGAAACAGCTGCCGATACGGTCGGACAAATCGGCAGGAACTTGAGAGCTGCAACGCAAGCGTACCGCGTGAGTGAATTGCGAGGGTCGCAACGCGATCGCAAAGCGGCGAAAGAGTGATCTCAGTGAATCAAGATCCCTCACATAGTGGGGAAGTTTTTCCGCGATGATAAAGATATTTAACAGTAACAGTAACGTAACAGTCGGACGTGACGTCCGGATATTTCGAAATCATTGACTCGGCGCACGACACAGGGCACGATCGGAACGGACATCCATGGATTCTCGCAAGATCGTCATCGTGCTGACGATCTTATGGCTGATACATCGTACAGAGGGCCAAATTACGTGTCGCGAGGTGCAATTGCACCGTGACTGCACGACGTTGTGCAGCAACGACACGAGCCGCGACGACGGTACCTCTTGCGAGCTGAGGATCGCCGTTCTCTTGCCGGCGGACCCAAAGTATGACATTTCTCTGCCCAAGGTTCTCCCGGTCCTCGGTAAGAAGTAAAGCCAAAGCTTAACTTCAATTGGAACGTAGGTCTCTAAATGAAATCGAGTCAATCAGATTTCAAAGCCGCATTCCGCAAGCTTCTTTTCAGCTTTCGTTCCAAATCTGAACTGTGCGAGCGAGCATTTTGTTCTCCTCTTTTACAGAATTAGCGGAATACGAAGCGAGATCGCGGGATCTGCTGCCACGTTGGTTGAGACTGAATTTATTGGCGCGGGACGATAGCTGTGATGCGACGTATGCGCAAATCGGCGCGATCGACAGTTTTTCAGATTGTGTGCACCTGTTTCTCGGACCGGCATGCGATTATTGCGTCGGTACGTCACTTTAAATCCTTTTATTGTGAATTTTATCAAATCCTCTTAAACATAACGCTGTCAGTTTGAGAATAAATGATTCTAAATCTGGCATCGCTTATGCTTTAATCTACACATAAATTACATCCGTCAAAACTGAGAAAGCTGTCCCATTTATATAATTTTTCATAATCTTTCGCATATATATATATATATATATATATATATATATATATAAAAACACTCTTGTTAAAATTGTGTTAAAATTACTTAATTGTACAGCTGTACTACAAGAATAAGTTTTAGAAACAAATGCTTTTTTACATTTTATGTGTATACATATTCTGTATTATTTCTTATTTTATTTATATCTTTAAACAATAAATGTGTGAGATATTGTTTCTGAATTACTTTTTCCTATCTGTTGTACTATTTCCATTACTGTGAATTGATTAAGGACCAATTTTTTTATAGCGGTCGTTGGCAGAATGGTGAAATTCCTTGGAACACCGTTAATTACTACGGGAGGCTTTACTTTTGACTTCACCGAGAAAAAGACTGAATGTAAAGATGAATACTTTATGACCACAAGAATCGGAAATGTAGCTTCTAGGGATATCGCTAAATTTTTCATAGCCATAATGGATCGGTATGTATAATTAAAAATTTATTCAATTGTTAATTAAATTACTATGGTTAAAATGTTATCTTTATATGTATCTCCAAAACAAACTTTTAATGATTTTATTATGACTATGACGACAAGTAATAAGTGCGGTGAGAAGATTAAAGAACAATAAAGAAACGAAATTTGTTTGTTCATTTCTTTTCTTTTCATAAATTAGTTACGAGTGGCGTAAAGTGCATCTCGTCTATGCAGCAAGTGGGCAAAGTCAAATCAATGGTAAACACACGTGTCATCTTATGATGAAATCAATGGTTGAATTTATCAAAAAGGAGCATAATATCACCTTCGCCGCATTCGATGTCGAAACTACAACTCTCAGTGACTATCCAGAGGCTTTGAAAGATCACATTGGTACTTCGTACGGCGGTGAGTGATATTTTTAAATTAATTATTATAATGTTTAAGTCAAGAGCCTTACGCGCTTGAAAGCATATTAAAAAAATAATTCATTAAGCAATCACATGAAAGACGCTTTAAAAAAAGTTTAAAATAATTATCTAGTTATAAGAGGAAGATTATACATCTTTGCGCATAAGTAAGTAATTTTTAAGGTGAATAATAAAATATAAATTCTCTCTCTACATAAAATCTTTTCTAAAATATATAAAACCACCATTAAAAGATTTAAAATAAATTTTGTGAAAAATATGAAAATATTTCATCCCATCAGGTAAAAGTTTATTTAGAAAAAATAGTTTCTTGCTGCTTTTGTGAATCTTAATGTAATGTAACCCATTAATTACTAAATGAATAGATTTATTATTAATTAATTGTATGTTCAAAAGAATAGTCATACAGTTAATAAAGAAGTTTTAAAAATGATTTCTGGAAAATAGCTTTGTCAAGATATTAAAATGATTTATTACTATTACATATATTTATTCACCTAATAATATAATTGGGTTCTATTGACATTTTTCATTTTATATATATTTTATATATTCATTTTATTTATTTGAAATATTATATCAAATTCTGATTAAGAAAATATTAATTATATCATATTATATCATATTTATTATATCATATTTATCACATACCTCCGCTTTAAATAGTAAACAATAATGCCATAAATAATTATATTAAAATATAAACGTTGTCTCAAAATAACAAATCTGCGATAAATACATTGTTAATATCATAGTTCTTTACAACAGCATATGGTTGCAATCACATAAAATTTGATAAACAGACGTCACTCGACAAATAAAAAATTAATTATTATAAAATCATAATTGATTCTTTAATTTGCAACGCGCGTACTTTGATCTGATATACTTAAAAATAATATGTGTGCATCTTATCGATATCTTATATTGGCGATTGAAAAAAATTATTTGTAATCTTGAGACTTTCTAAATATATATTGCATATTATAAAATCTTTGACTGCATTTTTACATAACAATTGATAATTAATGCTGAACAGTTTATTAATGAGAAGATGCTTACCGAATATTCCCAAATTGTCCCATAACGGAGACGTTGTTTTAAGTATTCGCTATAAATTTGACAATCAACAATATATTCGAGTGACATGAGAGAAAGGTGATATATCTCGCACATTAATCATCTCGAGAGATTTTATTACCGTTACGATTCTGTCGTTTTCACTTCTCTCGTTTTGAGAGCACATAATCATTCTTTCATTTAATAATAAATGTCATAATAATATAAAAATCCTGTAAGACAAAAAATATATATTTGTACCAAGTAAAATATTTATTTAAAAACAATTAATTTTATTTGTACACACACACACATATATATATATATATATATATATATATAATACACATATA